CACCAGCACCAGCACCAGCACCAGCACTCACTTCCATCAATGCATCTCACTGACTTCCGCGCCCGCGCCTCCCTCCCTCCGCCTCACCGAAGCATCCTCCAACCCCCACAACATCACGTCTGGTGTTGTTGATCATTCTCTCGCCCTTTCTCACACACTCACTCCCTCACTCCCTCCCTCGGTCAGTGGCCATTGTGCGCTGAGGACCCATATCCAGCTCGGGTTGAAGGCGCCTGCGATATCTAGACATCACTTCGCCAGCTGGCTTTGCTTGCGACTACGACATCGGTCACTCATACGCCTCGTCCTCGCGGGGTATCCATCTCCTCTCATGATTCCTCCTTTGCTGGCCGCCTTCGCATAAGCGTTTCGGTTGGCTGTCTCTCGAAGCCATCCACAGCTTGACGACCTTGCCGCCGTGCAGACATCGGCTACTTGATATCCGCCCGTCTATCGAGCCATCTCAACGGCCGCAAAACCCCGGGCCGTTTGGAGTTCGGCCGGGTCTAGGTCGGCCAGCAACCAACGTCTTTTTCTCCTGCTACCGCGCGCAACCAGGCCACTCACACGGGGGGGTTTACTCGTTTCAACCAGCACCACCTGCATTGTTTCTTCATCGCCTTGATCGGCGCCGTACTTCTCTCATCTCCGAACCCCCAGCCCACGGCGGAAGTCACCGGCTAACCTTGAACCTCCACCGTGACCAACACCAACACCACCACCATCACACCCCGGCCGTATGCGCCAGCGCTCGCGACTATCTTCGCTGTAGTCTCTTGCCAACAAATACGCAGGACTCCATCTCTCCCTCCGGACCTTTCATTTTTGTCACCATCTTGTCTTGCAGGCGACCGAGTCAGCCATGGACGCAATGCACGACGAGATGGCCCCAGAACAGCTCATCCCCCCGACCCGCCAGCTTGCAAACTCCCACCCGCAACTTGGCCATCATGAACTTGACCCTGCGCTTCGCCCACCAACCGACTCCCCGCCCTCGGCGGCCGCTGATGCCCGACCATGGACCCAGATACAGACGCCGCTCCAAGTTCGTGACGACCAGCCGCAGCCGCCACCGCACCAGACCCTCGCGAACTCGTGCCTCACCTTGTGCCGACGGCCGCATCACCCTGCCAGCGTGTTCCTCTCCGATCTCCCCAACGAGCTCCTGCTTCACATCCTCGGCTACCTGGATGTGAACGATCTACTGTCCACTTCGAGGGTAGGCTTCTTCCCCGCGTTGTCGCTCCTGTGATGGTCCTCGATCTTTCGTCTTCGTTTCGTCCCAAACATTACCCTCTCCCCCGCAAGAACTTTTCTGTCCCATGTAATTACACGCACGCTCGCACCACTTGATCCGTAGTTTTTTCTCCCTCTGTGTTTCGAGAACTCTGCTGATGACACAGACCAATCACCACCTGCGTCACCTGTCCCTCTCGCCTATTCTTCACCACTACCGCCTCCGGCACACACGTGCCATCTTGCCCCCTCTGCTGGCGTCCCCCTCTCGCCCGTCGCTGGCGGAGCTCATCGGCCGCTCCATCTTCCTGACGCACACCTCGGTCGTATCGCGCCGTCTGGCCCGCTCCCTCGTGTCCATCCGGCTGTCCCGCCGCCTCGCCTCCCGACCCTCGGCCGAGGCTCTTGTGGAACGGGCCGTGCTGCCGCCCGAGTGCGTCCCGGGCTTGAACAAGGTGCAAGTGGCGCCTTCTCTTGTCGCGAAACGGCGGGCTATCGAGAAGGAGAGGGTCAAGGACGGTTTGAGAAAATGGGTCGAGGGCGTGTGGAAGGGCGAGGTGCGACAACGAGAGGAGGGCGTCAAGAAGTGGGAGGAGAGCAAGGGCGTTGGGAGGGTCTGGCGACTCCGGCGCTTCTGGGAGAGGGTCTCGAGGGGAGATGGCGTCGGCCTCCGGTAGGCCTGTCGGCGCTTGTAAATGAGCTGTGTATATGATTTTGGAGGGCTTGGGCTCTAGGCGTTAGCGTTCCGCTCTGGGAGCGGTCCAGGAGGCGTATGGTTGTCGCTTCGGTGCTTGCCTGTAATGATGTAAACGATAACGTGTGACACGATGAATGGGTGTTTGATTATCGACAGTTTTTGAGGCAAGATGGTTTAGTACATGATACAAATGAGCGACGTAAATTTGGGCTTGTGTCCTCGCTGACCACCTAGGCGGGGGTTGTGTCGTGCAGCCATGGTTGACGCTCCTCAAAGTTCTGCCATGAGAAGCACATCTTGCCTAGTTGCAGCGACCCAAGCCCCTGTCGAACCACTGAAATGACTGCGGTGACGGTTTGCAAAGATAGTCACAGATTCCGCGCAACCAGAGTTGCCTTTATGGCCGTTAACTAACCTCCTCGAGAAGAGCACCTATGCGTACAATGTCTACGCGGCGATGATTCCTGTCAAGTGACAGACACTGTCGCCGTCGTACGTGAAGATGACGGCAGAAGAAAGAGTCAACAAGCCATGTAGTCGCTGTAGCACGGCAGTAGCATGCGATCTTCCCTTTGGAAATGCGGACGCAGGATACCTTGAACCCGGTATGATCCAGCAGTAGAGTGAATGTGTACGCCCGTGATAACATCCAGAGCGTCATGCGAAAGAATGAGACTTTCATTCAGGCGTCATGATAGTAGTACGAAAGCACGTCTATGGAGATCTTCGCGCCCCTACACTTAAAGGTGGCCGCTGGCCCGAACTTGGCTTTCAGGGGGAAGGGTTTGCAACCGTCCAGCGTCGAACATGGTAGAAGGTCTATAGTCGTGACGATTTTCAGCGACATTAGCATGCTTCATATACCCTTTCTAAGCTGGAATCAATGTCTATGGGCTGTGGGTTGAGGCAGAGAATGTGATGCTAGCATAGATGGTGACGGGCGGTGCTGGAGGGGCGCCAAGACCCCCTGAACCTTTGTACAGAGAACCCCTACCGGCACCAGGCGGGTATTTTGTACGTTCTGAAGATCCAAGAAGCCAATCCAAGTGACAAAAAATACGTGATCGAACTTCAGATATCATCATGGATGATATTTGCACTCGTCTTTGGGATTGCCTACAGCCCGAGACCCGTGAAGCTCGGGGTAGGCCTCGCACCTTGAGGGCATAAAAGCAAAGTACCTAGCCGTGCTCTACGGAGTGCTTGAGGTGGAGTTGGAAAACAAGTTAGCTGCAAACAGCGCGAGTCTCAGACACTGCAAACTATTGTGCTCCTAGGCTCTCAAGGTTCTGGACTTGGCGCTGGGGTTTGTAGGGTCTTTGATAACAAACCGCTTCAATAACAGGGACACATTCGATGTCATTCACGTTTCTTATTGCTTCTGTTATAACATCGAATCTCTGGGCTTTGGATATGATGTGCTGTTGTCATTGCTCGCTTTCCCAACCTCACCCCCAGTTCAAACGTATCCGACCACCGTCTACTTCGCTTGCTAACACGCTGTGAGCACTGTACCTGTGGTACGAATATCGTCACTTATCCTGCAGCCCATGTACATACTCATTGAAACTCTTTACGTGCCTCTCAGAATAGTATTGGCCTGATCCGAGGGATCCAATAGATGCTGCTGCAATTTCACATCGTGGCGAGTTTATCTATCAAGCGGGCGCATCGAAGTGGCCGCTGTGGCATGGGGAATCTTGTGCTAAACTTCATGGGCTAGCATGAGCTTAAGAATTGGCATCCTAATCATGTGGTGTCTTCGCGCTGTTCCCCGAAGCCAATCTGCTTTCAGTGATGGAAGCAGCGCCCGCCCCTGATATGCCTTTCCAAAGCCAACGAGCGACATCTTCATCAGAATATGAGAGCCCCTCGGTGCCTGTCTCTCTGCTGCCTTGGAGTTCTCAGCAATCGCATGACTTGTCAGAGCTCAAGGCGCTGAGGGACGTGACTTCCATATCCCCACCCTCCCGCTGCCCTTGCGATGTCTGGGGGCCATGGCTAACGCGCAATAGGTAAACCGCTTGCCTAGATACACCAGAGAACCACTCACAAAACTCTTCAAATTGATTATCCACAAAGAGCGTGCTGCCAGCCAAGAGTCTCTACCTACATTTCGCACTGAAGCCGTGGGCGCGTGATTTGACCCTGAGCACACGCTAGCATACAGTGCATGTGTCTCATTCCTATCACCTCTGCTGTCCCTCTCGTGCGCAAGCTTCGTCATATGCCAGATCTCCCTGTGCTTTTTGCCCTGTAAGCTATTGACTTGCTCATTGGTACTACGTACGTGGTACCCCACGCTTTGATGCGGATAGCCTACGTCTTCGTCGTCTGGTTCACCCTTTTGACACTATCGCCGGCGAAGACTTTGCCCCCGTCATTTCGACAGGGGTTCAATTAGATGACAGTCATCCGATCGATACGCGGTGCTCTTGCCAGACAGGTGGGAAAATGAAGTTTTAGAAAATCTTTTGGTACTTGCAATGTCCAATGTCCAACGTCCAACTTCGTCATGTTTTGCTGAGACCTTGGCAAACATTGGAATAAGGTTGCATGCAGGCACAAAGATCGTTGGTCCAACATCAACTACCGAGACAGCAAAGCGGGAGCGCCCGCGGCGCCGAGATGTTGAGTCACTCAGCAAAGAACAGTTTAAGGGCTAGCGACAGGGAATCAAAGATGCCGTATATATCGACCGATGCACGTCGACTTTAACGACTCCGAGGTTGAACATTGTTATATGACTGATATACCTAGGGCTAGAGTGCCGCCGTACGATTACAACCCGCGCCTTGTTTGTCACGTTCATCACGTTCCCCTACAAGGATCGTATCACTGCACGGTTTATGGGTTCCGGCCCCTCGCTGAAAGTACCAGAGGCGAGAAAAAACGATTTCCATGAGCTCAATGGAGCGGCAGGTTGAGTACCCTAGAAGGAAATATGCCCTTTGTTGCGCCTTCCACGACGAACTCTTTCTCCTTTCCAATTATCCGGTTACTGCCTCTGTCCATGCTGCTGATTCTGTTGATTCTATGGTGTCTTGCAGTGTGCCAAGGCAGGAGATCATAACTGCTCCTTGTCTGATGCATTGATGTGCAGGTCTTTGGGGGAGGCAGCATCAACCCTCGCGGTGGACTGGAGCTGATCTTGGGAAGACTCCTCGGTACAGCCGGTAGTGTCGAGGGCCGTATTTTGACTGGAAAGAAGAAGTTCACCGTCGGCAGCGGTGGCGGAAGAAAGAGGGAGCATATCGCCTGGGTGGTTGTCGTGCTCTGGACCTGCCGGTCGTTCGGCCTGCTCATCCCGTTCTGCCTGCTCGAGTTGTGCGTCCTGGGCATCGACCTTGACGAATTCCATAGAGCTGTATGGGACGTTAGTAGGCGATGGATGAATACGGGCAGGAAATGACAAACATCCACATGGCTACATCTTCGTCGAATTTGCGCTTCTTCTCCAGAATAAGCTCAAGATGCTCCTTCGCAAACCGAAGCTTGGTTTGCATGCAAGCCTGCTCGTGCATCGTAGCGGTGTCGTGATGCTGCTGAACGATCTCGCTATCGATACGGACCACCTCTTGAGTGTGCATGACAGTGTCATCATTGAAGGGGTGGCAGGCCAGAAGTTGGTGCATACCAGCCTCATGGTCCGCGCATAGTCCCGGCTCTGTGACGAGATCTTCGACCATTGTGAATGCTATAAAACGTTTTTCAGAGAAGTAGAGGTCCCAGACGTGGTTGTATCGAATCGTTAAGTCTTTAGTCAGGTCGTCGTCGCGAGGGGGCGCCATCGTGGGTTGACTGGTGTTGACCTGTGTGGGAGTACGTTATGGTAATGAAGACGATGACGAGGCGGAAGAATGGAAGAAGGTGGACTAGCTGAAAGAACAATTACGACTGGGAGAACGATGAAAGGCGCGTTAATGGAAAGTTCTGCTGGTGGGAGGTACGACGGTGGGAGGTGGTGGATGGCGCGTTGGCGGAAGGAGTGTTGATCGGAGGTGCCTTCTATATCTAGGCTGACAGAATACGCTAGGAACCCACGGCAAATGATGGCTCGAGAGCTGACGGGAGGGGCCCCGAGACAAGGCGATGAGTGAGAGCGTGTTTATCGGTCGATATTGATGTTCATGTTAACCGGAAGCCTATCCTCCCTAAACGCCTCTTGGATGAGTTCAGGCTACTTCATACAAACCAAGGCATTTCGACACCTGTCACACGCAATCATAAGCGGGATGAGGAATCAGAAGTTAAATTGCTAAACTGCATCCCTTAGTGAAAAAGCAAGACATGGGCAACATAAACTCCGTGACTTCCCAGCTATGCAATGCCATGTAAGCTATGCTGAACAAGCATTCCTCCCAAACGCCGATGACTACCAAATCCTCTTCGCAACCATTTCGTACCGGTAGACTCCGTTATAGTCACTTTCTGGGGGCTTCTCTGCCTTCTGCACGCGTCCCTTGCCACCCTTCAGTCCCTCCTTCTCGTCCGCGTGTATCCACCTGCGCCTATCCTCCGTCACCTCGATATGGCCGTATCCGCCCACACGCTTGCCCTTGGCATCGTAAGACTCGCGCTCCTCCTGACCAGTTGCCACTAGGTGCTCCTTACGCTTCATCTTGGCGTAACGGTTGCGAGAGTACCGCAGGAGGATCATGCCCAATAGGAGTTTAATGACGAGCAGGACGAGGAAGGCGATGAAGAAGACGACGATCATTGTAACTGCCGCGATAACGTCGTCACTGGTCCAGGACCACCACGAGCGGGCCTTGACGCCGGGAGATGCGTACGGGTAGCCGTAGACGGCACGCCCCAGGGCGTCGCGCAGTAGGGTGTCGAGGCGGTCGAGAGCCGCGACCATCACTGGTGAGGATGGCGTCGCAGATTCGACGGAAAGCGACGTCTGTGTTGACTCGGGAAGTGGAGTTGGAATTCTTGTTGATAGGAACATGTGATATGTCTGTACCGATGCCCGGATGAAGAGACACGAAAGGGGTATGACGGCAAGGCCCAGTCGTCGAGTCAACGAAGGCGTGACAAAGGCCTGGGATGGTGTTAGGTTATGATCAAAGTTTGGGAAGGGGGCAAGGCATACATTTGTGTAGTAGTCCTTGCACAGGATATCGAGGATACGGCTGTAGAACGTCGGCTTGATGTTGTTGAACTTGTTCACGTAGGCATGCTTGATGGTGTCTACCAGCATCTCGCTGCCAATGACAATCAAGAAGGGGGACAGAACCTCGCCAGACCACACCCAGGATGGCAGCACCGTGAAGCTGAAGGGCAGGATGGACGGGCTGTGGAGAGGCATAGCGCCTCCACCCATATCGTTGCCACTCTCAGAACCAGCGCCAGGGACAGACAGGCCGCCAACCTCGACAATGTTACGCATCCCGATGATCAGCAGCATGATCCAAAGCTGGAAGCGCTCCACAATGTCTGCACACGTCAATTGGAAAAGGTTGTCCTTCTCAAACCGCTTGAACACAGTGCTCTTGATCTCGACGAACTGGTTCGAGATCATCAAGGTCAAGAGTGCGTTGGAGTATGAGTTGACAGCCACGTTCAGCGTAATGACCTGGTAGTACAGAGAGACGGAGTGGATGACGTTGTAAACGAGAGCCAGAACAAACATGCCCATGGGCAGGAGGACTTTGGAGCGACCAGAACTATTCCTTGATAGGGTCTCGGAACTGAAGAGGCACTCGAAAATGTCCTGCCCGAGGGCGGAAAGCAGGCGATCGCCGACCTGCCATTCCGTTAGCAAAGGTTGTCACTTTGGCGTCCGAATGTTCCCTACCTCGAGGACGTTGTAGATGACGTAGAGCTTGATGCCATCCTGCGCTCGAATGAAATGATACATCCGACTGGCGTCCAGCTTCATGAGAAATAGAGAACTGCACAGAATTACGGCTCCCTGCAGTAGATCGGCCTTGTGGAATGAGGACAAGTTAGACGGGATCGACTTCGTCCTCCTATGACGAGCCTGCCGGTGTGCGGACATGTGCGTTGGATGGTGACCGGCGGAGCCATTTGTCTTATAAGTGACTCCATGTCCGTTACCATTCATCTTGACTTCTTGTTCGATAACCTGATTGCCGTTCGTCTTGGCCTCCGAATCAATGTTGATTGCGGGGACATCGCTCGAGGATCTAATATCCGGGGTCACCAAAGGCGTGCTTCGGTGCGCTGGTCGGCTTTGGCTCCTGTCGCGGCTGACGAGGTGATCGGGGTCTTCATGCTGGGCTGAAGAGGTAGCTCTGGACCTGGGCCGTCGGGCTCTAGCCCATACTCTACCCAGTCCATGCCAGACGTATCCTATCATCCAGCGCGCCTCCTTTGCCGCGAGATAGCCCCACCACTTAACCAAAACGCCCAAAGCAATGCAGAACCTCATGGGCAGAATGGTGAAATTATAAAGCCAGGCATCGAGACAGGCCAGAGCCCCGAAATAGAGGGTCCGTTCGAGGAATGACGGCAGCAAGAGAACATTTTTGAGTCTTTCCCACTTGACGGCATATGACTCGTATGGAATATCATTAGTATGTGAGTGATGTATGTACAAAGGACTCGGTCGTTGGGCTGCCAGTTCCAGCTGTAGATGTGTTGGTATAGACATGGGCGGGAGGGGTATCGAAGGAGGAAGAGGCGAGGGCGGAAAGGGGTCATTTCGGGGGGCTTTGGATTGCTGCGACGACGGCGGCGGCACTTGAATCTGGGGTAGTTTGGGCTGGCTCGTCGTCTGCGTTGGCGGAGGCAGAGGGCTGATTGCGTTGAAGTGGGTTGCCGCTTCGAGATTCAGGGGTGGTGGCCGAGCAACGGTGTAGAAGGAATTCCGGCGAGGGGAGGTGGTTTGAGACTGAGACTGTCTTCGGTTCGTGGGGGGCGTAGACAAGGTCCTTCCAGAGGTCGGGCGGCGCCATTCATCGTGATGTCGCGACCTGCTACCACCGTCTGTCACTGGACCATTGCGCCGGAGGGTGTCCGGTTGGCTCAGGATGGACTGCCGAATCGCTTGCAGCTGCTCTGATATGTGCGCCGGCCGGTCCCCATCGCTTGCTGCACCATCTGCAACAACAGCAACAGGCAGAGCCTCCGGATCCTGCAGCTGCTGCATCCCCGCCACAGACAATCTCCTAACATTATCGTGGCTCTGATTCTTCTTCATGGATGCGGAATTAGACCCGGCTCTCGCCCGCGTCTTCTGCTCTGCGCCCTCCTTGTGTTCGGCATCCTTCTTCTCGACGGCGGTCGCAGGTTCGGATATGGAGGAAGAATTGGAGGAATCTTGCAGCTCCGGCTTGCTGTGCGTCGAGGAGGCATCTGACGATTGCTCTTCGTCGGAGTGACCGCCGGGGATGGTAGGGAGTGTCGAGGTAGGAGGTGCGCTCGCAGAGACGCTGGGCAATGGTGGCATAGGAATGTGCGAGACTCTGATGTCGCTTTTCGTGTCTATGGCATTGCGGTCGAGTGGCAGGCCGTCGGAAGGAAAGGCTGGCATGGCCGGGAAGGCCTCGACGGGCTCGGCGGCGGCATCTCCAGACGATGCATGGTCCTCGGCCTCTCGCGCTCGGTGATGTTCGCCTTCTGCCATTCCCAAGCCCTTCACTGTGTTTCTAGTCGCGAGGTATCGGCTCCATTCGCTTTTGGCCGTCGGGGGCTCGTTGGTTCGCGGGAAAGCAAGGCGGACACGGATAAACGAATGAGGTAGTCCGAGGTGTTTGGATGGAGGATTCGATAGGCCGAAGTCAGGTCGTGTGCCGCACGGGAGTGAAGCGACGAAGCTTAGCCTTGCAGTTTGCAGTTCTTCGCAGGTTGATGGAGTGGGGTTTCAGGACACCAAAGACACGCTTTCGAACATTGAACGCTGAAAGTGTGCTGCCCAGCAAGGACGACTGGGGATTGGACTGGTGATTGGCCTGCCGGACGCTCAGACAGGGAAACCTGGGCAGCCACGGCAGAAGAGAGCACTGTGGAGCACGCTAAGGGAGATTTGGATCTGGCCGTCTGAATGCGCTGGACAGGTCCGCTGGGTCTTCCATTCCAGTGGGCACACTCAGTGGTCACTGGTCTGGTCACCCACTCAGTGCCTGGTGGGAGTGACGTATCACACTGGGCGGTCTGAGTCTGTGCGCGAGCAGCAAGCGATATCGATAGGGGCGGTCTGAGTCAGCACGGACTTACGGATTTACCAGCAACAGTGGGAAGGCAAGGTCCCGGTCGTGGCTTTCCTCCTTCACCTTGTAAAAGGCCGACAAGGTGAAGAAGCTCTCACCGAAACCGGACATGAAGTCATGGTGAGGTTAACTTCACAGCAGTGGCTCTTTTCTCGGTGGGGTGGAGCGTCATTCCCATCCCAAGTGAATTTGCGACCTGCGACAGCCTTGCACCGTTTTTTCAGGAAAGACCCAACTATTTCTTCAAATGCCGAGGGATCGTCACCGCCAACATCATCTGGTACCGGGCCGCGATGGTAACATGCCCGCTCCAGAGATGGCTTCCGCCTTATTTCCGACACCGCGCGCGGGACACTGCCGCCCACCGGCACCGGATCGGTGGCCTGCCTGGTTGGTGGTGGAAGCCCTAGCCGTCTTCTTTTTTGCACCTAGAACATACTGCAAAGTACACTAGAGCGAACCCGAGGGCAAGGCCGGACTCTCGGCGAAGTGGGGAATGGAGTTTGGAGCTTGAAGGCAGAACCTCCGAGTCTCGAGTCTGTTTCTTCATCTGTTGTGCTGCCTCTGTCTCATCGAGAGGGGGCCCCTGGGAGCACATGGAGTCCGAGTTA